TTTGAAAAGGTTGTTTTATTTTTTTCTTGGCCTTGTACTTTTCCTTAGAGTTTCCTTCTTGGGAAACATTCACACCGGAGACAAAATTTTTGCACAGCTTACAGCTTTTTCTCTCCTTACTTCTGGCACATTTTGACACATCCTATACACCAAACTGACAGCTTACAGATACACACCAGTCTTAACGCCCTGCCTTTGGCCTAAGCAGAGGAACATGTTAGATTTGTCGGCTTGCTCCCGGGGCTGCGAGCCACCCGACTACCACTGAGTGGCCCGGCAGGCCAGCGGCGGGCGCGAGGGCTGTGCGAGCTGCAGGAGCCGGGGGCATGCCCAGCCACTAAGCTGCTATTCCTGAAGCGGATTTAGACCATTTTCTGCTGTCATATCGCCATGGCATGTGCTGGCTCCCCTGGCTCCATGCTAGTAGTGAGTGGTTTTCACAGATGTGCTTTTGACAGATGAAAGGTAAGCACTAAAAGGTACAGGGTCAGAGGTGCACAGCACAGAGAAGGAAGCAACTGTTAGTGGTTTTTCAAACTGCAAGATCTGGCCACAGAAATATAAAGTCCAGAGAGGAAAAGAAAAAAAGAAAAAGGCTCCTGAGTGTGGGATGGGAGGAAGGAGCAAAAGTACAGAGCACAGGGAGTCACTCAGGCAACAAGGTCTCCTCTTCACCAGTGACTACTGACTAGAAGATGATACATACCAATGCCACGCCAGCACACATCGTGGAAAAGAAAACTACCCAGGGAGGATATTTCCAAGCGTCTTCTGAAGAAATATGCAGGGATTTTTGAGCATGATCATTACCAGGAAAATCAGATACAGCACACAGCATCAAACAAGGAGGACAGCTCTAGCACCTTGCAAGCTCACCTCCTGGGGCACGCAGGCACATGGGTGCCAGGGTGCTCCCAGCCACTCTCCTCCGCCCTTCATAATAAGTATGCCAGAGGTGTGAGCCCATTTACACCTAGTACCTAGTAGCTGCTCTACAGGAGATAGGAAACTGTTTCCAGGAGTCCTCCTTCGCCGTCCAGCACGCATTGCCTGACAGAGCAACGTCTGCCTGAATTTCAGCTCAACTGCACTGCTTAAAGAGCATAGACGTTCTTTGGGAAACAAATGTTGTGCTACCTCTGGAAGCGGATGCAGTCCTTTTAACTCCCTCCATTCAATAACACAGTCTGACCTATGTGGCATCAGGAAAGGGGAAATATGTGGAATAAATAAGTGGTGTGGGGCCCTGGCTCCAGAGGTGGGAACAAGGGGGGGTCACATCACAGCCACCTGCACAGTTTGCTTTGTTAGAAAACGGAGACCCTGTGAGAAGTACTCACCCGCACGCAGTAGGTCGTGCCTGTCTCGACGACATTTTCAGCGCTCTGTATGAGGCTCCTGTCCTGTCTGTCTGTAGGAGCAGCCTCCTCTGAGCCCCACGGGGTGCCGTTGCCTGCAGCCTTAGTGCTGAGGAGCAGCTTGTCCGGGTCGGGCTGCGGGTAAGACGCAGAGAGGCAGCTGATTTCAGGTGAGGTTGGGCTGCTTGGGATGGTAACGCACTCCGTAAGTTTAATTCTTGGCACCTCTTTCGTTCCCAGACAGAAGCTTTTCAGCCCTGGCAGACTGGATGGGTTGGCAAGTTTAATGTTAGCCATTCGAGGTATCAAAGCACACAAGGTGGTGCAGGTGTCCTGTGTCCCCAGGGAGACATCTTCAGTCAGTAAATTAGGTGTTGAAGAATGGGAAGAGGACGAAGAGCCTTTGATATTTAAAGACGTATTTTGTGTACCTTCATCTAGTGATGTTATTGAATCATTCCTGAATCGGCTGTATTTAGCCCTGTGCAGCATTCCTGGATGTCTAAATAACCCTACATACAGTACGTGTCCACTGAGGCTCTGCTGGTTGCGTTCTCTCATAGCCTTGGCAGTTCTGTAACTGGAGACTCTTGCATAAATTGGCTCTTGTAGATAAATTATATGGAAATTAAGCAATTCAAACAATTTTTTAAAGAGAAAACTAGTGGATATTTTTGCTGACTGTCTCTCAAGTGGTTTATTTTCCTCAATGCATGAGGCTTAAAACTGCATGGACATCTGGTATTTTGTAAGCAGTAATAAATGAAGCATACAGGAAAGCGTAGCAATGCTCCAGCAGTTTAATTTGAAGAGCTGCTATCCAAACCTACTCATTTCTGCCTCAAGCAAGCAAGCCACTACATCACTGCTAGCTTTGAAGACTCACTGTTTTAGCCTGCATCATTAATTGTGTAGTCCTCGCTGCAGCAAAAGCTCAAGCGTATTCCACACAAAGCAAAGCAAGACAGCTAGAATCTCAAACACACTTTCAGACTTCCAAGAACCCGGCAAGACACCCAGCTTTCAGCATTTCCAGCTTCAGCTGCCCCAAAGGAAGAAAGCACCCCTATGCTACAATTCTCATGTTCTCCATTCATGAAAAAAATAATAATAATCAAGGAAAATACTGATCTGATCAGAGCCAGCAGTTCTCAGTGTAAGTCTTGCTAATTCTTCCTGGAAAGTCCCTCAGCAGCATCCTGCAGACCCCGCTGAGACCC